GTCTGTAGCTCCTCCGTTAACTGTTTCTGTACACTTAAAGATTCAGACAATTGTTCCTGTTAACAGACAATAAATAGACAATTACTTAGTGTGCAATGCTTCTTTTAATGTCCGATTCCAAGCCCATAGTAATGTGTTGAAAATCTTAACTCCATCAGAATTGTGAGGACCTAAGCCTGTATCAGCTCACAGCTCTTTTTCACTTACTGCCCTGACTTACTCTTCCACTACTGCTATGCTTTTTAGCAACAAAACGTGTCTATCAGTAGATCCCCGAAAACTGCAACCCATGGAATAGACATGTCCTATGTACTAGGAACAATGCTCATTTTTGCCAAACTTTACAAAGCCAGGGATGAGACTAAATCTTAAATTTCTAAAGAAAGTTTAATGATTTTCTCCTTCATTTAGCTTTTTATTTTCCTTGAGTGGTTCTTTTAAATTATGCCTACGTATGCTTATTTAATATATATTCCATTGCAATTTCATGCAACTTTACTGTTTTACTTTTTTGTATGTAGCAGAGTAAGCAGAAAGACATTTTGATAGCTCTGCATGATGTTATATACATGTCAGAAAGCACAATCTAATTTGCTGTATTGGCTGGGAACTGTGGATTTAAAAAAAAAATATTTAATTTTTCAAATTAATTTCTGTGGCTATGTGAAATGGATTAGTGGTTCACTTTGTTCCTACCTTTTGTTGTCTTTATCAAAATAATCTTTGAAATTAGGAGGCTCAGCAAAGAGACTGATCCATTTTTTTCAAGCCTAGCAAAGGATTCTGATAAACAAGGTTGAGGTGCACTGGAGGGCTACATTACATATAGCACCAGGACATTTTGGACCATCAATCAAGCACTTTCCATAAGCAGAGGCTTACTTAAACTAATCAAAAAGAAGTGACAAAATGAGGTGGTTAGGAGGACATTGCAGACGTTCCTGTTAGATAGCAATTAGATATGCCAGTTGCTTTAGGTGACATACTGTGTATTCTGTAATATCTACAGTAAACGTGAATTTATTTTGACGACAGATTACTTCAGTCTCTAGTTCTGTACAAAAATACTAAAAGGCGCTCAGATATTGTGGTTATTGGGGCTATACAAATTCCTAGATAGATCAAATTACGCATACACAGTATACCTCCATTAAATGTTTATAGTCTCGTTTCCCTTGATAATCAGGCTAGAAAGTGAATGGCAAACAGCACAGTGAGCAAAGGTCAATTTTTGCAGAAACGTATTGTAAACAAGTGCTTTTCAGATGTCGTTGAATACTGTCTTCATTTGTACTGATACTGTTTCTTTTTAAGCTCCATGAATGTTCAAAAAGGGGGGGGGGGGGAAATAA